TTCTGTCTCTATTTTCATTTTAACAAGACAGTCTTTTGTAACCTTTCAAATGGAACTCAACGGCAACCTAATTTGTCATTCGTCGCAACGTCGTTTTGTTTCCGGTGGGTTTCAGAGAGCATCATTAAAAAACGGACTGTCATATTAAAAAATCCCATTCTCCCCAAACGGATATTTCCGGAGGAAGCCAGACATTCCCAGTTACTATTTTTGTCGGTTAAGTAAGAGAATGGCTGTGGCATTTCGTCGTGATGGTATGGTACCAATGGAAGGCATTGTTAAGTCATGTTAACTGATGTATTAGTCCCAAGAGGGACCACACTCTGTTCCTGTAGTTTCCTCATGTCTTGGAGCAGTTGATTGGGAAAGGTTCCATGTGAACGTCAGTACAAAGGAACTAAAAGTATAATTACTCACGCCAAACGCCATTGGAGAGGCACCATTATTCCACCTTTCTTCACGTGGCGTTATCGAAATACAAAACGCTAACGTCATGGTTATGTATATGTACCGAAAGCGATTCCACTGGACATAAAAGGCAAAATAGTGATAAGTGATAAGAATAGAAAATCAGCAATGACACCGGGTGTTCGCCAAAAAGGAGCAATCATAGTAAACCCTTTCCAAACTAATTCAAGTAAATTATGGAAATATGAGCGGCATATGGTAACTACATTGCCGGTTATACGTGTCTGTGTTTTTCAAGCACTGAATACAGACGGTATTGAATACCGCTTTGGTATTGACGTTTATACGGATGTATTATTGAAATGGTTTTTTTTGTGTCTGTCGTATGATTATTTATATGGGGCTTCGCAGAAAGATCATTACTCGGAGTAGAAACTAATTGCTGTATTAATATTCGTCGTGGTATAAATCAACAGTATTCTTGATTTTTGCCGTAAAAAACCTTTTGCCGAATCTTGACAGAGTTGCTTTCACGTATATTTGTAACTATCTTTATTATTTATATCTTCCTCCAGCATTTGACAAAGGTGTGATTTGAGGCGTTGTCTCATCACACTTTGTTAATTAACTCATGACGGTACTTTGTTGGATGACGTCAGTGTATTCTAAAATAGCGTCACTGTTTTCTTTCAAAGCAATCCAAATTGGACCTAAACGACAGACCTATCATGTAGAAAGATTCAGTGACAATGAAATAGTTTCCCTTATATCATAACGATGACATTAATACCTCTGTTCAAACATACTGCCACTCTGTCATGGTGACAGATAATTGGTCTGACCAAAGGTCAGGACAGCTAAGAATGGAAATAATAACTGTCATTTCAAATGAAAGATTTGAACTGATAATGGTTGCGCCATGTTATAAAATCTTACCCAGCTGCCTAGAGACCAGGGCAGTCATGCTTAACCTTTCCGCAAGCAACTGTTTTCAGCACTGAATTACAGTCATCCATGCATAAACGTTTACCACTAATGTGCCATGTTCTTCCAATGGAACTTCGTTTGGCAGATAAGCCAGAATGATTTGTGTTCCAGTGCTGACCGTTTTAATTACGTACCTCAGACTTTTAGGGGCATGTACGCTGGATTATACAGATGCATGCACTGTGTTTTCACAAATTAGGCTGACATATTTGTAAGTCGACAGTGACAACTCAGCCTTCATTAATGTCAAATTACAATGTGCGAACAAGACTCTTAAACCTTTAACCAATAGTATCATTTCTATGCACTAGAAACATCTGTAGTGTTAACATCTGCTTTAAAAGGAAACCCAATATCTATATATGATGTAATATTATACTGTGTGCAGCCACTTATTTCATTTTATTTGCTTTTCACATCCTGATAATATTCAGTGTATCTTAGCATCTATTTTAGTACGTGATTCATATAAGGTCAAGGGCATTTGACGTGATTAGTAACGGTCATTTCAATTTCCTGAATCCACTATAACCATGATGGTGAACTTTTAAGTGGAGATGGCAAAGTGGATTAAGTGTTGTACTGGGTAGCCAAGCGTCTAAGAGCCTTATCTTGGAGGTTAATGGCCGTTCGAGTTCCAGGGGAGTAACAAGTTTGTTTGCGTTTTTAACAATTCTAGCCACAATTACTTCCTACTAATGTTCAATTTCCGGACGAATAGTTTTAGACGGATAATTTGAGGATTCATCTGAACGATGGGATCTTACTTAGACAAAAGTGCAAGTAGGATAAATATAACTTTAATTACATGATGTATGCGAAAATAGCCAATTTGGTTCATTTCATCGTGCACGTTCTATATTCAACAACTTTAACATTGCTACAATATTTCTTCAATAGCATGTTCATCAAGATAAGTATAATAATAAATGCAATAAAAACATGTTCATAATCATTAGAAATCTCAACTAAAAGCGGACGCTATATTTCGATTTCGACCATAACATTGTAACAGCTATTTTGCCATCTACAAACAGTGGAATCCGTTTGTGAGGATAGCCAACACTGGAAATTCTTTTGGGCTGACGTTTTACGCGATAATTATTATGAATCCTCCCCCACCGGTGTTCACATCTAAAAGACACGCAAGGGCAAGTCAATTGATTGGGAACAATTAGTACAAGTCGGGGAATTTCGATCACTGATGTATCAAATTTGGAAATGTCCTACAAATGTCAAACATTGAAGTTTTTGTAAGCATCACTGAGTTCTTGAATGTTGTAACTGGTCAGGCAATTTTGGGCACTTTGAAATCTTCGAGAAAACCTCAAAAGCTTCGATTGCACACCAAGAGCTGCGAAATGTCAGTAACGTGGATGTGATTGACTATTGCTCCACACAAAGAGACAGTTTATTATCGGAATGGTGAAGTCAACCATCTTAAGCTCGTGAAGAGGTATTTTGCCACTCTCATACATCTAGGTCCATAAATCAAAATGTGAAACAGATGAGGTGGTTTCACGTTTCACTTCTGTTTCTAAATCAGATGTGTAGTTACGTGGGAGGGAAATAGCTGTTTGACTATAATTGAACGGCATCCGTTCATCGATATACCTTCTCCACCTAACTCCCTATTTTTTTCCCTATCCGAGCAGAAATTCTGATTCGTACGGAGCCCAACTGGTTCACATTGGAATGTCTCGATGACTTCCCAAATTTCAACAAGATTTTATCAAGATGGAAATCTAATATTAGTATATTTCACATTTTTCTTTCTCAGAAAAATTCAGATGGTATGTACTTGTATTTCTTACAAATTGTTCTGAGCCTTTGGAGTTTGGAGGCGAGTATACATTACACATATAATATCAACAGTAACAAATACGAGGGTTACTAGACATCTCCCCCAGTTAACATATGGCCATATTTGTGCCTTAGTATTTCAAATGTCACGTTCTTTGACCAAACGGTTAATGTTGCGAGGTTTGCATTATAATGGTTGTGGTATTTGAGATCCAGTCATAGGGAACAACAACAAACTTCGTGTAAGGCTGACAGCTACCCGCGGATAAATGAATCTATTTGAAATCCTGTTCCTCTTTCTCAGTTTGTGTATTGTACCAATGACGACCCCGTGCAGTGACAACCGACCCTAAAAGACTTTCAACAGGTTCCTCATCCTTTTGACCATATATAGGCATATGGTTTGATACAACATACACAGAGGTTTAGAAAGGAACGCACTTTTCTGAATAAACCCAAACCACAATTACCCTGAAATTCACTCTCCTAAATCGCTGTTCTAAACCAAGAAGCACCCATACTGCTTAACGTTGAACTTTAACAGAATGATAATTCGTCCTTAAGATAATCAAGAAATCTTTTGGCATACTTACAAATGCTATATCGCTATTGTTTTCACTGAAAATAAGGACTTTCAGTAATGGAACTGAAAAATGATTTCATTTGAAGGTGGATAGACGTACTAGTTCAGTTCATCATGATAATTGCAAACAAAGGGCTGTGCATCACAATATAGAAACATACAGAAATATAACGTGCATTCATTGGCAACAGAAGGTTTTGAAGGTATATAACAGAGCGTGAGATTTATTTGAAAACTGGCATCAATAAATATCACTGGTCTATTAAATCCATGTTTGGGATCAATACACACAGTACATCGTTGTTCTAACGAGACCACGTGAGCAGAATGATAATTAGTAAGCCCTCGTTTGCAGTTGCTGTATGACACAAAAACAGTGGGTTTATGTTATTATAGGGGATGATGGCGGATTAGCCACTGAAGACAACGTGTGGGAGAATAGTTAACAAAGCTGCTTATTATAGACACGTTGTAATCAAATAGCGCCATGTGCTTCCAGGTGATGCTTCTATTTGAATATTGATAATCAATGGATCATATGATCATGACGGACTGATCTGATGTTCAAAGGGACAGATGCCAATAGCGACCAGGATCCAGGAACAAAGCATAATAAGGCCTTCATTTTACGACCAATAAGTCATGTACCCTCACAATTTGATTATCAGTGAATCACACAATGGTCGTCGGGGATATTAAGGCATTCATAGGAGTGTATGAAGACTGATGGTATATTGGTAATATAATGGGGGTGGGATGTAATCGAATCTACCCAAACATGAGATCGATAGCATGGATACACGTCAACTGGACACATACTGGTCACTCGATACCTATTTGGGGTTTAAGGTTTTGAGGAAAGGGATGTAAATCTATCACCTTTAATATTACGAACACGTTTATTAGATAAATATCGCATTCATTCTTGAAATGTAATTTGGCAGGATTTCAGTGAAGGACCTCGAAATAATTTTACAAAGATAAACAACGTCAATGACACAGGATAACCAGTTTCGATCATCCATCGAAACCAGTTCATTGGAAATAAAACATAAAAGGCAAAGAAGCTCTGAAATTGTATAGTGAGTCACTCGCAATCACTGACGACACCGGGTGTCTGTTAAAAGTACCATGAGAAACTCACACAGTGTACATAAAGAGCTGAGGTTAGCTGAATTTGTATAGACAAAATAATGATATCAAAATATGCAAAACCTACCGATTTTGGTTTCTTTTTCTGGTAAGGGGGGATAACCGCCCCTGTTTGATCCATAGCCTGAATGCTACTGAACACCAAGGAGGAGAGAGTGGAACGACGTTCTCCATGGTAACGTTGTCGTGGCGTTGATGGGTACATACTCCGATCGATTTCTGAAATATATATACATGGATTGACCCAATGCAATATTTGGGTACATAAAAACACAACAGTTTAAGTTCGTCTGAGACCAGTTTAACGAAGCGGTCACACAGCTTCGGATATCCAATACTAGAAAATACAAGCACGACTCCCCAAACACTAAGATTACTTTGAGGAATGGCTCAGGCAGTAATCATGCTAGGAAATAGCTTATGGATATTTAGATTTAAATGAAAACATTCAGACCAACTAAAGCAATTGAACTAAACTGTCGGAAAAAAGAAAGTATATCACAGAAAATTAGATTCGACTTGAACATTACAAACGTCTCTGGGCTGAAAACAGTAACCTGTTACGAGATAATCATTGAAATACACAAAAGTCATGCAATATCAACTATGATACTCGGAACAGATACATCACCATCGCACGCCATGATTTGGGATTTATGAGGTTTTGGAAACGTATATTCATCCATTCATCCACGTACCATGACCAGCTCACGTTCATTTCTTGTAGGTATGTATGTATGTACGTATGTCGTACGTACGTACGTATGTATGTATGTATGTATGTGTGTGTGTGTGTATGTGTGTGTGTGTGTGTACGTGTGTGCGTGTGTATGTATATATGTACAAGAGGTTCTGAAGACAAAAACGAAAAAACCTCCCACAAATATCACTAAAAAGTGATGATGCCATTTGTCAACCGCACCATAATGAGTGCCAGCAACAATTGGTAACAAGGAACTGGTTGTCTCCGACTTCGTACCTATTAAGGACATAAATAGACAATGTAAAACTAATGGTACTTCCAAGGTACTAGAATAGTGACTAGTAACCTTATCGTTGGCCTAATTGAATATACGTTTCCAAAAACTCATGAATCCCAAATCATGGCTTTTTGCCAGAGACGCAGATGAACGTTTCTGTGACAGGTTGTTGAGGACTATGCCCTTGAGGGAAACTGGGAGTCCTCCAACTGTCTTGGCACCAACTCCATCTACTTATTCTATTGTCATTTCTAAATTTCATCTTATATGACCAAAGTTAATGTCTGTGTTCCGCTGACTGGAGACACAAGCAAGCCTCTCCGGAGGGTGGAACAATCTACCTGTCAACGATGTTGGCCATAATGACGAGCCAATTCAGCAATGGAAACTATTTAAGAGCAAGACAGAGATAGGCAGCCATTTTATGGTATTGATTTTGGTTCTACGACATAAAACACAAATCCAGTTTCACAGACCTGTAAGTGTAAGATTTCAAAAGAGTATATATTCCGTTACGTATTTTTATTACGACAAAGAAAACGTTTCTCTAAGAGCAATTTCCGTTAAACAGAAAGAAAAAATGTTCCTGGTTTGTTTCACATAGTTCTTTTCTGTAAAGATAGTACGATGGTGAGATCAGTTATAATACAACATTATATCATCGTATAGACAGCATTGGTGGTGTGATACAATTGTCCAGAATCTCTGGTGTCATAACCTATAGCGACGTCATTATCAGTCCCATAGGCCTGTCATGTAACCATGTCATGTTCCTAATATCCTGCTTGACCCAGGTCAAGTGTCCAGGTTTGACGTCACCATGCACGTGCTCTTAGGTTTTATCAAACATCTGAGTTCTGCATCACCTTGAGCTGTCATCCACATCCACCTAACACCCCGTCATAACGGGCGTAGTCTTCAAAACGGCGTTAAACCAAACTCACTCACTCACTCACTGTTTCTAATATCCCGTTGTTGCTTATCTTACTGGTGACGTTAAATATTAACTCACGCACTCACTTATCTTACTGATAATCGTTCCGTTAGCTTAAGTCTCCGTTATGATACATCTTATCATACACAATATTATGATAATAATAGCATATTCCTACCGCGCATATGTCCATGCCTAAGCATACTCAAAGCGCACTGTTACAATCTGATTATTATTACCTGGGATAACCCAAGCTGCCTGTGAAGCGCTAGAAAGTTATAGTCACATGACTTATACCACCGGCTATCCATTATCTGTTGGGTGAACAGAGGCAATTTTGAACAAACTCACTTGCCTAATGTGTGACCACTGACCATTTGACAACGACATTAGAATCTATGTCGAAACGTCGCCTATACAGAATAAAGAAGTTGTATATCCATAAAAATAGTCCTCATTCTTCACTGACTGAAGCCTAGAAACTCTCAAGAGTCAAGGTGCCAAACACGCTCACCCATCCAAGATCTCTCCGCGCTCAACGCTGCTCAACTGAATTGTGAGTGAGTGAGTGAGTGAGTTTGGTGTTTACGCCGCTTTTGGCAATATTCCAGCAATATCACGGCGGGGGACACCAGAAATGAGCTTCACACATTGTTCCCATGTGGGGAATCGAACCCGGGTCTTCGGCGTGACGAGCGAACGCTTTAACCATCAGGCTACCCCACCGCCCCAACTGAATTGTGACCTGGGCTCAGGACCACACGCCACCACATCATACGACTAAGCTACTTTCATTTACCTGTACATTTGCTGTTTAGATGACCTTTCCTTACTGTTGGCAACAAGTAACCTTTTCGTTTGTGGTAAGTAACATGCTGCTACCTTAAGTTAACTGTTATCGAGTATCCCTTTTGTTACTGATAGGTGACTGAGAAATGTGGACATTAAGTAACCATTTTGTAATCATTTGATAACCCCCCTTGTATCGTACAAGTAACCGTGTTGATATGATAACTACCTTTGTTACTGAGGTGACCTGTCAGTTACTCATCTGTTTTAAATCAGTATCAGTTTCAGTCAACCCTCTTGATTGAGCGATTCCGTGATTTGGTTGACTGTGTGTCATCGTAACCCGACAACGTGGGCCCATGCTCATAATATCAATCACTGGTTAGTCTGATCGAGACTCGATTATTTCCACAGTTATCTATGTGTATGTGTTATACAAATATGATGAAATCCGTAAATTCAAATTCCGTGGGGCCCTCGCATATTTTACTACTACTACTACTACTACTACTACTACTACTATTCCTACTGCCACTACTACTACTACTACTACATTAGAGGGCGGTGGGGGTAGCCTAGTGGTTAAGGCGTTCGCTCGCCACGCCGAAGACTCGGGTTCGATTCCCCACATGGGTACAATGTGTGAATAACATGTCTGGGGCACCCTCCCTTTTCTCAATAGTGCGCACCCCCCCTTTCTCAAAAAGCTGTATCCGCCCCTGAGGTCCCCTCGTCTTGTCTCATCTCGTGACACATCCAGTTACTTGATTTCCAGATCGACTATGATCCAGTTACCGACGTCTAACTCTGCCTGATACAAAATCAACTAGGCACTATGGGTATAACTCTAGTTAAGTCAGAGTTCCGGTATTGGTGAAAGGAACTCGTTGGAAATTCCCTTCGTCAGTCTACAAATGCCCCTGTATTTATGTACTCTAGTGTAATATTGTTTGAATGGCTTCCTGACGAGCATTCCCTGAAACCATAAACATTTGCTTTATGAATCATTTATGAAGTGCGGCATCAGGAGCTGTGTGAGACATTAGCTTGTGGACATCTAGTCCACAAATGCCAGGCATACCTTCTTGTGGCTGAGGACGGGCAACCTGGTTGTGTTGAATCTCGGCCAAGGAATGGCTGCGCCTGTAGGGGGGGATCCCCTTTCTTTGGTCTTCCCTCTGAACGTAGGCTTCGGGCCCTGGGACGTATTGGGGGGTCCCCCAAGAATAGCCCGACCCATAGCTTGTACGTCTGTCGCGTAGTTTCTTCCGCCCAAGGATACGATGGAGGTCCTCGCCCTCTATCGTTTCGGAATCGGAGAAGTCTGAAAAACAACAGAGTGACGTAGTTGTCATGCCTGGGGTCGTTTGCTGGCAATGAGGCATACTGCGTGTTGGGGATAATTAGATGTCTACCCTGGGGCAAGGACTCCCAGGACAATAACACACATTTTGTCCCACTGAGATCTGTTAATGCGTTAGCTGTTACAGCCATTTGGGGCAATCATATTGTTTGGCGTTAAATCATAATATTTTTTACCTCGAAAGTTAATGGAATAACATGTTTTGAACAAACATATTATCGCGGCACATTATTACCATATCTAATCTACATGCTGTTGACAACTATCCCCGCTCTTTAACATTAACCCCTTTAACATTAAAATTGGTTATTAATCATGTGATAAATAATAAAATGTGCGATTAAATTGCGATAAATGCATCGTTTTCATTCTTTCATCATGGAGATGGTAACTTAAAACCACGCAGAATAAAACTAAAAGCCAAATACGTAAAGTACAGATCTCAAGAAGTTTGTAGCTTAATCATGTTTAATAACATTACTGTTTGTCTTATCTCACAGTGTTTAGGGCATTTCCTTCATCAAGATTGATCAATATCGATCATGGCTGGAAACTGCCGGTTCCAACAGCCCCGGTACATAAACGTGTGTTTAACACCAATACGTGTTAATATGTATGCTCTGAAATTAGTAACAGAATTAAACCGACGTCTATTTGCACGTCGACGAAACCAACTGTACGTTGATTACCATTATCTGGCGTGAATCGTGACAGTTCCAAACAGTTCAGTACTTATCGTGACCTCTGTGACGTCCACGACTGGGCGATAAATGCTGCTGTTAATCCCTTGAGTAACACACATCACCTTGTGATGCAGGCAAGTGATATACACGTGGGTGGTATGCGTATATTACACTATATATCTTAATACAGGAAATTAACGAAGACCTGATAATTTGGATCATCAACAGCAATGCAGACACAATTTAGTTTCATTGATCTCATTGTAGTTTTTTCAACCGTATATATAGGGACTCTTCAAACGATTCCTTTGAACGTTCGTGCTTGCAGTTACACAAGAAACATCTATTAAATTCATGAAGTGGGATGTCTCTGTAGAGAAAATTACTTTCAGCTTAAAAGGCTAATCGACCGCAAGTATAATATAACTGAACAATGGACGAAAAAATACTATAGTTAAGTACTGAATGATATTGCGTTCCTCACAATGCACTTGGAAAGCACCCAGAGGTAGATGTTGTAATGTGAACTGAAATCACGGTTTGAATGGATTTTCCTATTAAATGTGTTTGCAAATGGTATTAGGGAGTTCGAATAACATCAATCAGCTGAATCTAATTGATGTATTGATTTTTTTGTATGAATAGCATCTATCTACATTAATATGATCCATTACTACCGTCTCGACGGACTGCTATTTTGGTCTACATGGGGTATCGCTCTGGTTCGTCATCTTGGTCCTCGAGTGCTAAAAGTCTGCGGCTAAAGTCACTTTGGACTCTACTCCCATATCTGGCTGTCACGCAATGATACTGGTGAAACGCTGTAGAAACTAATCTCTCTCACACTAGGATATATCGTCTACTGGTCTCCATCACAACAGGTTTCGATTTGCGTGTGACATTCATCACTGGATCAAAATCAGTCACTCACTCACTAAGATAATGCTTTGTTTCCTGTTAGAGTGAAACTCTTTCGCCCATATGAATAACCCATCATATCTGAACCTAACGATCCGTCTTCACATTATTTCTGTGAGAGTCCTCATCATTCATCAATCTTTAAATGTTTCTTGATGCTGACTATGAATGTGCCTTTTGCATCATAATTAGTAACATTTCGATTGGTGAACTGCTGCAGAGGTAAGTGTGATCTTTGTTCCCAGGTGTAAGGTTCTACATTTCCGTCCTAATCTAATATATTTGCATATTATATACCTTCTGTCTTTCTATTTGACAGTAATCTGAAAGCCCCACAATACCTGATTGTAGTATTTCTATATTGATGTATTATCCATTGATCTGACAGTGAAGTCTTAACTTATGTTTCTACTCGTCTCAGGTATTTAGCAGAATATTAATTCCTTTTTGAAATCGGTGCATTTTAAAATATACTCTCTTTTCGATTAAAATGTTATTTACATGTTTGTCTTTCAATGCATGTTGAAATATATTGTATGTACCACATGGACTAATAACAGCATGTATACTGACATAAATAAACAATGACATCACACATTCACAAGACCGCATTGCAGTGCGTCCCTAGCCAAGTTAAACATGGCGTACCTTAAATGCGAGCGTCATTTGGTACGTAAGGAACTTAGTAACCTTAACGTCCCCCATAATTCATTGATTCATAAATTGAATTATTATTCATATATTGAGTTCTCACTTAAACGCCATGTTTTCCCACAAATCCCCTCTGGTAATAGCATCAAAGGCCACCTGTTATGAATTAACTGTTACGTATTTTGATCAATACGGATAAGAAAGATTATAGAAATTTCTTCTGATTCTGAATTGATTAGAACGCTAAATAACATTCACTGCGTTAACCCACATATATCAATCCATTCAACTGTTCACGTGGTAGAAACTATTTCAAACTTTGCATGAGTGAAAATTGTTCATGAAGAAGTACCTGCCAACTAAACAATGACACTCCTAAAGTGCCACATCAGTCATGATATATATCTGAAAAGTACATGTACGTAATTGCGAGTTTATAATGGGGTAGTTGCGAGTATAGCTAAGCTGTAAGTTTAGGAAAAACTCATAAACAGAAAAGAAAATATTCATACATATTGGACAGTGAATGCATGAATCAGCATAAAAATGTTAAACATTAAAAGTTATAAAATACATATAAAGTTATACAAACCAGCAAAAGAGACGTCAGTATCGTCTATCCGACTCCCATCCGAACCTTTACGACTACTTCGACTACTTGCCGACCCTCTCCGATCAGACGGATCGGACAAAATCGACGATCTACGACTTCCAAGACTGTTTGCCGACCCCCTCCGATCTGTGTCGGATGCAAATGAAGTCCTCCGACTGCAAAGACTGCTAGCGGATCCCCTCCTATCCGAATCCGAGGCAAAAGAAGTCCTTCTGCTACCACAGCTGCTACTTGACCCTCTGCGAAGGTCAAGGGCAAGGGCTCCTAACATCATGTGGTCCGACGCTGAAGCATAAGATGTACGTCTGCTCCCATAATCCACGAAAATTTGTGGCACAACAAATGGTGGGTCTTCCTTACTCCTCTTCCTGATAAGGGGTCCAACAATTAAGCTCTTCTTTTCCTCTTTCTTCGGCTTTTTCTTGCATTTACCTGCAACATAATCCGCAGCTTTTAAGGCAAAAGAAAACTGAACGTAATACAATGGACGCCGTTTGAATAATTGCGAAAAAATGCAGGTTAATCAATCGCTACCTAGACCAAGCTGACGCATGACACATTCACTGAAGGCCCCGAACGCTTCCTCAAGAAAAGAGTAATCCATGGCAGGGTGTATCTCTCCTAGTGAGTTGATGTCGGTGTGACTACATCAAAAACAACCAGTCTCATGCCGTCAAGAAATGTATGCGACCTTTCTGCCTATGACACAGGTTGTCGCACCATAAACAGAGGTATATATATCTCTGTCCCCTTCATTCATAAACCGCTCCACAATGCTACAGCTCTCCACGGAGCTCCACAGAAGCGCGGCTCAAGCCGAACACGCCATCCCGACAGCTAGTCTTGACACTAATGCCGACCCAACACAGTTCGCGTCGTAATCGCCAGAGGAAGCCGCTTCTTACAAATATTTCTTTATGATGATAAAACATAGGTATTTGCGTCCAATGAGCGCTGACCTAAAGCCGCCCCCTTCTTCTCCTTGTGCAATTATAGCAAAATCGACACTGCCTGACCAATTTTGCATCGCTATTGGGGGTAGAAATTGGATACCGGTCGTGTTTAGGATAATTACCTAAAAGCTCACCTCATAATTATCTCTGCGCTTCAAGCAACAACCGGAGCAATTATTTCAGTATAAGGCGATCACAGTGCCCGGCATGTCGCGGACGACGCGGACATTTTATAGCAAAGGTAATGACATCTCTTCCCGTTGTCCCAGGAAACCCAAGTCCGTCTTTGTAGGGTATAATGGTCGTGTTGACAACTTAAATTGTTCGCCCAGACTCTCAGCTGAATTCAGTGTTAATATTTTGGAAGAATGCTCCGTAAAGGTTGAAGCTAAAAATATCCACCTTGACCATTAAACTTGCTTTTAAAACATTATTTCCAGACAATTCGGACATCGTGTAAGGACTTTAGAACTGAAGAACATATCTAAACATGGTTAGGGGGAAATCAGCTTGTGAAGCTGAGTCCATTTCCTAGCACTGGGGTTCTGGTTTTCTTCAATGTCCTTAAAAGCATGTGGGATTGCAAGACTACTTCTCATTCCGTTGATTTGTTATCGGGTTGGTGCTCTAGTGGCACCTGTCCTAACTTTCTTCATTTATCATGATTTCGTTCCGTAATTCTCCTTGACTATGTTTTTTCTTTGGAGGAAACAAGCTTTGATGAGTTAAATTCCATTACTTTGTGTCTGGAAATTCTAAATCTACTCTAAACAATTATGAACATTTTCCGGTAATAGATATCCCCTTTCTGCATCAGAAGGAGTATTTTAAAAGATTGTAAATGGATAGGGAGAGTAACAATACTTTTCATTCACCCGTAAATGAACCAATGTCTATGCTATGAACATGTATTTAATGATAAGTCGTATGATATGAATTATAATAACTGGTTGCTTCGAGCATATAACGATGAATATTCATAAACGCTAGGGCTAGCCAGGCATTTCATAGGCCCTCATACAAACGAATCAAGAGTTACCCATTTAGAAACCAATCAATATTCGTTGAAAAACCGCAGCAGTGATCACTCTTTAAACACTTTTTAACAATGAATTTTGAATATTTTATGGGCAACATTGTTATTTGCTGAAAATATGATAATTGAAATTTCTTATACATGATCCGCAAATTTATTGACAGGTTCCTGTAGAATGAGTGGAACCAGGGGTTTTCTGCTGCTACCGTTGTCAGCGCTGTTCACGACTTGACAATACGTTGTTCTGGGCTCTTAATAAATGTGGTAGCATTTATTGGTGATCGTACTGAGGAGACTCAAGTCCAATTAGTTTAGGCTTGAAACGCCTACGAATTGTACGTAGATTGAAGAGGGATCTCAACGATATCACACACCTGAGCATGGCTGGAGCGGTGATGTTACAACTCTGGCGTTACGACTGAACATATGTCTGATTAATATGTAATCAAATGTAGGACCATGATAATAATTAAATTATCATTAGCGGTAACTAGGTAACACATCAGGTTATGATTAACATTATGTCACACAAATCTCACACCTGACTGCTTCACTGCTTTTAGATACAGGTTTGTCTCATATAGTACGTTCTGGAAAATATTTGTCAAATCCAGATATTAGTAAATATATAATGTCAACAGCAGGGAATAATTAGCATCGTATTTCATTAGGCGTAAACCTAGGGATGAACATTATTTGAACGGATCACTGCAAGTCAGTCATGACACCGGGTGTTCGTGGAAAGTGAGTGAGTTTAGTTTTACGCCGCTTTTAGCAATGTTCCAGCAATATCACGGCGGGTGTTCGTGGAAAGGGCGACCTTCCTCCCCAACCGACAGCACCCGCAACTAACTATTTCATTGTGTATGTAGATATATTGAGGCTTGACCAGACAATCCAGTAATGGACATGGTGGCACACAAGCTGGTTCTGTTGAAACTATATACGACAGTTCAGTTCTGAATTACATCAGCCATGTGCAAGTGCAGAGATTGCAGCATCTGAGTAAGAAGAACGTTTAACAAATGTTCGTTTTGCAGCACACACAAAAAAAACGAACTGGGATTTTTACAATGTGATTTTAAAAATCAGTTACTGATTCAATGGGTAATTTTATTCAAATGACACCCCTAAAAAGTCGAAAGTTGTAATGATAATGATGGTATCAGATCCACTACTAAACAGTCCTAAACTTCACTAAACCTTTTTCAGTTAGAATAATCTTGCCGTGTAAAGTCTGACAAATTAAATTGTTAATGTAATTGATGTCATCAAATATGTAAATGGAGAAACAAATGGGTAAAAAGTAAGCCTAATTGATTTGTTCAGTGAATCTAAGCGAACTCATAAAACTGATTACTTGAATTTAAGAGGCAGATTCCCAGCCTTAACGTCCCGCGTAGTTGCCTTTTGATTGAGTCCAAAAAAGCGTTCTAAAGAACATTTTATTGAATCACTAACGTGGCGCTTTAAAAGAGAACAAAACGATAAGCCAATTTGTTAGAGGGTAAGAAAAGCCGGCCATCTGCGGGTAATAAGCCTTTTTAAAAATCGCTTCCTGCAATCGATTTATATAATCTCTCTGAAATTAAGGTCCTTCTACGCAACCAAACATGCCCTGGATGGCAAAGAAAAAATGGCAAGGGATTTGAAGCTCTTCGATGACGTCGTTTGAAATCGTATTAAATCCGTACCGGCTGCCAAAGACATTATTCATGTTCGGGAATATAGCCAGAAAAAAATCCATCAACCAATAAATCGAACAAACTATAGTCAGCCATTTTACAAAACTGGCAAAAGCGGAAAAAGGTCATCCCGCCTGAGCAGAATTTCACAAATGCAGATTAAACTTTTGTAATACAAAACATATTATCTGACAGCGAAGATGTGTGGATGTTGACGTGTCCCTAACCATGGCTCAAGTCGTGTTATTCAATGAATTAAGCAGCGGTGTCTCCAGTAAACAGAGACGAGAAAAGAGGTTGGTATGTTTGCTTGTGAGATGTCTGACGTTCCATAATCCGTACATCACTTTGTATTTGCTCTAACATGTCTGATGAGGCGTTTGGTTATTTATACTTCTACACGTCAGTCTTCACGCTTACATATTACACAATTTGATATCGACGTTTCTCTGTTTCCAAGCACTGAACCTGCCGAAAATAGGATTAAGCCTTCGCGAAACCTTTATGAGGGATTCGTCTCTGTCAGTTAGGCTAGGTCTTCAGTATTTACTTTGCTTATCCTCAATTAGAGAGCGACTAACAGTCTACGCGGTAATAGAGATAAGGCCATCCGTGTTTTTTATGTGTTTGTCATCTTCGTCCGGGAGGGAGGGCGAAAACACAACACTTCCACTAAATATTTTATAAAAAAATAAAATTTAGATCACTAGGTTTTAGTATTAATTTAATTTATAATCGCGATCGAGTCGCTTTAAAATAAATGTTCAAAAGAATATATAGATAAGAAAGATCAAAGCGGACCTGTTTTTTTATGAGAATGCAGTGGTAACAGTTACTGTATTTCTTTTATCACATCAAGGCATAAATTTCAACAGCGGCGGGGAAAATTGAGATAGGAAAACCTTTTATTACTTCACGTCTGAATAAAAACTATTAAAACACAGAAAAAGTACGGACAGCCCAAAGCCTTTATGAGACTGACGATAGGGATTATCCTGATTAAGGTGTTGAGGTCGTCAGAACCATTCCCGTGTTGGGACAAAGGCGTTGTTTATATTATATACTCACGGTAAGTCTGTGAGTGTGGTTATGGGTATTTAATCGTTGTCAGTTTGTGATTTCTTGAACAGATAATGGCGTCTTCCTAATTGGTTTCTGCATTGCATTGTGACGTTACTGTCACAGGACGAGTCTCTCGACTTTGTGGAATATATAACTCGACGCTTTAATTTCATAATTGGGTCGTTTTCAATCATACACGTTCTTCAAATATACTCATGGAAACGAATAAGGGAACACATGAAAGTACAAGTGTTCCTTTATTCTTTTCCAGGTTTCTTCACAAGGTATGTATTGCACTGTGTGTGAAATTCTGGAAATAAATAATGGAACATTGTACTTTCATGTGTTCCCTCATTCGTTTCTATGAGTGTATCATCAAAATTGGTTTTATGTACCTGTTTGTTTGATGTTATCAGGATCCGATTCACTGAACGATCTTTGTGATATAATTTAAAGAAGGCAAATAATTTCACACGTACTTACAACAGTTGTAAGATATGACAAACATGAGACACTGGGCACATATCCGTTAACTTTCAAGAATTGACGGATTCAAATGAAAAAAAAATCGTTGAAATACTGTTCTTCAGTAATTTGGAATTGTTTTTGTAGCTTGAAACTAACATGTTTAAAAAACTGTTTTTGTTTCTTAGTTGTTTAACTCCACATCCATAAACACAGATCAGTGACTGACAT